CAGGCCACAGGTATACACAGGCAGGTGACAGCTGGGCACACACATACACACAGTCAGGCCACAGGTATACACAGGTGACAGAGCTGGGCACATACATACACACAGTCAGGCCATAGGTATACACAGGCAGGGGACAGAGCTGGGGACATACACATACACACAGTCAGGCCACAGGTATGCACAGGCAGGTGACAGCTAGGCACACACATACACACAGTCAGGTCACAGGTATACACAGGCAGGTGACAGCTGGGCACACACATACACACAGTCAGGTCACAGGTATACACAGGCAGGTGACAGCTGGGCACACACATACACACAGTCAGGTCACAGGTATACACAGGCAGGTGACAGCTGGGCACACACATACACACAGTCAGGTCACAGGTATACACAGGCAGGTGACAGCTGGGCACACACATACACACAGTCAGGTCACAGGTATACACAGGCAGGTGACAGCTGGGCACACACATACACACAGTCAGGTCACAGGTATACACAGGCAGGTGACAGCTGGGCACACACATACACACAGTCAGGTCACAGGTATACACAGGCAGGTGACAGCTGGGCACACACATACACACAGTCAGGCCACAGGTATACACAGGTGACAGAACTGGGTACATACACAGAGTCAGGCCACAGGTATGCACAAGCAGCATCTGGGCACACGTACATGCTCAGTCAAGCCACAGATGAGTACACGCATGCACATGGTCAGACCACAGACACTGTCAGGTCACACATGGGCAGGAAGACCAGACCCACACGCTCACACAGTCGGGTGACAGTCGGGCACGTGTACACACACACACACGGGGCACTCACACCGTCACGACGGCAGACAGCACCCGCCCACCGTGAAAGCACAGCCCGGTCAGGTCAGACCCACACGTGGGAGTCGTCTAGGGTATGGGCCCAGTGGGGGGCATGGAGGTTAGGGAGGCTGGATTCCACATGGCTGACCGCGGTGCAAGTCCCGGCCACAGTGGCTTGAGACTCACACCAGGCACGACTGTGTCCATGGAGAAGGGAGAAGGGACTGCGGCACGGCCATCCCCCGGGGGGTGATTTCTCGCTTTCCCTCCCTGTCCCTGCAAACGCCCTACAGCAAAATAATCTTACAACAAGAAAAGACGCGTGGCCCAGAGGCACGCCCCAGGGTCACGGGCCAGCAGGCAGGAACACGCAACCGGGCCACCCGCAACACAAACACGCAGCATGCAGAGATGGACTTGCCCAGGCAGGCGGATGCGCACAGTCAGGCAGCACGGCCGCTGCAGTGAGCGCGCTTGCACCTTGCGGGGTAGCAGCCAGGACAGACCCTCCGAGTCCGACCCCCAGCGCGCGTCTGCACCCGTGGCTGGGCTATGGGGACGGGCACGCAGTCAGCCTGCAGATATGCACGCGGACACAGCCACCGGAAATCGGGTCAACGGGGAAGATGAAGCCCAGGGCACAGTCCCGAGCCCAGGGCCACCAAAGAGCAGAGTGGCCGACGAGGACCTCGCCGCAGAAAGGGTGACCACGGCGTTGCCCACGGGGGCACGTCAGGCCCAGACCACGTGGGTCGGCTGGGCGGCCCTCAGCACTTCTGGGGAAACCGAGACAGGCCGAGCGGGGGTCACCCACACAGAGCCTGAGGAGTGCTTGCAGGGGTGGCCCTGGTCACAGCTGTCACCCCCACCCCATGTCCCATGGGAGACAGGGCCGGCCGCCTTCTAAACTGGGCCACTCTAATCACTGCCTGGCTCCTGACGTCCCGCCTGGCTGGGCCAATGTCTTCCCGTGTCTCCGCGGGCTGGGGCTCTGCCAGGAGC